CCATACCATTGTTCCCTTAAGTGAGCCCCACCCTTTGCTCCTATCTTCATTATTTATTTATTTTTTTTCAGTGGAGTCTCACTCTGTTGCTCAGGTTGGAGTGAAGTGGCATGATCTCGGCTGTCTGCAACCTCCGCCTCCTGGGTTCCAGCAATTTTCCTGCCTCAGCCTCCCCAGTAGCTGGGACTACAGGCACCTACCACCATGCCCGGCTAATTTTTTGTATTTTTAGTAGAGACAAGGTTTAACTGTATTAGCCAGGGTGGTCTTGATCTCCTGACCTTGTGATCTGCCCACCTCAGCCTCCCAAAGTGCTGGGATTACAGGCATGAGCCACCGCGCCCTGCCCTCTATCTTTCTATTTAATCCTCACAGCCACTCAGAGAGGGCAGGATGATAATATTCCCATATTTAGGGGGAGAAACGGGGGCTCAGAGAGGCACAGCCACGTATCTAAGGTCATTCAGCAAGTGTCAGAGTGAGGACTCAAACTCAGATCCACATATCCTAAACCAGTGCTATCTGCACCATGTATATGGCCTGGTCTGGCTTGTCTGCCTGTCCTCGGACAGCCCTTAGCTTGCCCAGTGTACACGTCAATGGAAATGAACTGAAACTCAGTCTTTGCGCTTCAAGTGGGCAGCTCACCTTGCCAAAATCCTGCACATCGAAGAGGTCAAAGGCTTCGAAGAGCTCACTCCGCTTGAGGCCGAACTTCTCACAGCAGGTGGACAGGAAGGTTCTAATGTTCTTAAGGCACAGGAACTGTGAGGAGACAGAGAAATGAGGGTAGGGGAGGATGAAAGGGCAGGGGAGAAACTGACCCCCCAGGCCACCTGGCTTGGGGACTGGTGTGGAGGGGAAATGAAAGCATAGATCCCCTTCCACGAAACTGCATTCTCTTCTGATAAAGATTAAGCTGTGCCTGATCCAGATCTATGCTCTGCACTTTTTTATTGAGTTAAAATTGACAAAACGTAAAATGAATCACTAATGGTTAAACGAATGTGGTATATCCATACAATGGAATAGTATTCAGCCATAAAAAGGAATGAAGCACTGATTCATACTACAATGTGGATGACCTCAAAAACATTCTGAACTACACAGGAGGCTGTGATGAGTGGATCGCTGAGCCCAGGAGTTTCAGCCTGCAGTGGGCTATAATGGCACCACAGCACTTCAGTTCAGTCCGGGCAGCAAAGCAAAACCCTGTCTCAAACAAACAAACAAAAAATCAGGCCTCCTGCCTCCACCTCCCAAGTACCTGGGACTACAGGCATGTGCCACAACACTGAGCTAATTTCTGTATTTTTTGTATAGATGAGGTCTCGCTATATTGCCCAGGCGGGTCTTGAACTCCTGGACTTGAGGAATCCGCCCGCCTCAGCCTCCTAAAGTGCTGACATTATAGGTGGAAGCCACCATGCCTGGCCATCCCTGAACTTTTTTATTTCATGAGCCAAAACATTCCTTTTCTTGTTTAAGTCAGTTTAGATTGGGTTGCCATGGCCTGCAACCAAAAGATATTAACTAATGAAATGGTCGGGCACATGTAACATGGGCCCAGCTTTTGAGTATCTGGAAAAAGAAAAAGAAAGAAAGAAACCTTCATATTCTTGCATTTGCCAAGTATTGGCTCATCCAACATCCCAACAGGTTCAGCATTCTCTGAAGTTCCCCAGATCCTGAAGAATTCTAACCAGCCTTCCATCCACCAGCCTCCCACAGCTTGTAGACTTGGCTCTCCCATGACCCCCAACACTCTCCATGAAGTCAGTGTGGACCAAGAGTCCTAAAGCAGACTCATCAGGAGAGTTGGTTAAAATTCATCATCCAAAGCCACATATTGTATGCATCTATTTATACGAAATGCCCAGTACAGATAAATCCACACAATGGAATATTACTCAGCCATAAAAAGGAGAAAATACTGTTCCACACTACGACATGGATGAACCTTAAAAATATGCTCAGTGAAAGAAGCGAATCACAAAATGCCATGTATTGTACAATTCTATCCATAGGAAATGTCCAGAATAGTTCTGAGACTAGAAGTCCAAGATCAAGGTGTTGGTAGGGTTGGTTTCTTCAAAGCACAGGTCCCATTCTGTGAAATGAAACAGCACAGCCAGGCGTGGTGGCTCAAGC